CATCGTAAATATTTAATGAATTTAATAAATAAAAAATAAAAGTTATATCGATTAGAATATTTATACAGGCTTTGTGGATATTAGACAATGTTTTGTCTTTAAATGGAATGTGTATACTTGTTTAACTTGTTAAACGATATATTTGTTTTTTTTTTCACATTTATAAATTTAAATATGATTTTTAATAATTTGTATAAATTAATTAAACAAATGGCTGGATGGATTAAACAGATTTAATGAAACTCTTGTATTATGTAAGTCTACCGTTTGCTTAATACACGTTTTTAGAGGACAAGTAGAAGCCAAAATCGAGTTACTATATTTTGAGAGATATTTTGGAAATATAAGGCGTTAAAGCTTTTTAAATTTTCTTTTAAAATTTAAAAAATGATGTTTATCATTTAAATCATTAGTACAATATGATCAATAATATATGTAATAAAAATATATGTAATATGTAATAAAAAAAAATCATCTTAAGTATAGCATTAAATTGCGAAATTATAGATATTTAATTGTTAAGCGTATGAAACTGTATAGATAAAAAAAAAAAAGGACAATTTTGTGTTATCATTATATATGTTAATTTACTTGATCGATCGAATAATATCTAATTTAGGATAAATGATCAATTGTTTTTATTACACAAAATTTTCCGTATGGATCAATAAATATATTTAATAATAAGCGCTTAAATAACTAAATTCCTTCTTTAATCCTACATGGAAAATATAAAATTTATTCTTTAAGTCTTACATACTTGTGCATTATTTATTTATCAAAAATATTTTATTAACATGAAGTTCTGATATATCATTAAAAAACAAAACAAAACAAAATTTAAAGAGAAGAAAAGAAATTTTAAATAAAACAACATATACTACTATGATATGTAACTCATATATCATTTTGTCTTCTGATGTATATTTTTAATCAAGGAATATGCTTTAGAAATCGGTTAGACATTTGAATTATTAAACAAGGTGAAAGGTTTTATTGAAATTATCCGCTAATAATAATTGGAGGTCATCGATTTATCAAATCCCTCCTTTTCAGATCAACGACAGCCTGCAGCTTCATTCAAGAGATATTCAATTTTAAGATCTGATAATCTCATCAAATTCGACGAAATAGTTTCTTCCGTAAGCACATTATTGTGGTATTTATTCAGTTATCAAAGTGTAAATTAACTATGTTCTCAGTGATAAGAGATGAGTGATATACAGATTTTCAATAAAAATGTATATTTAATCATTGTAAGTTATTATTTATCTCTTATAAATATCTTTTATACGCTGGAAATTTGCAGGAGCGTATAATTAATAAACAAATAATAAATAAATTTTTAATATTATTTAAATATCATTATTTTCTATATTATTCATATTTTCTTTATAATAACGTAGAATTATCTACTATTAGAATAGAAGAAATTGTAAAAAATTTTTTTTAATGAAATAAAGCGTCGAAAATTTTCTTTTCCTTTTATTTTGGCAGATTTCTTTAATTAATGTGATTTTGTCAAACATTAAGATAGTAAAAAGATCTTTAAGTAAATAAAAAAAAAAAAAACAATGAATAAATAAAGCTTTTAGACATAAGATAGTTGTTTTACAAGAAAAGAGTGTTAGAATTGTTTATGAAACATTGGAAAGTAGATAGATATTACTAATATATCAAGCGATTACTGTTCTAGCCGAGTTTTGAATTTGCGATAACATTTTTTTATTATGCACTCAATTGCAAGGCATTCCGATAATGAACTAGTGCATTATATTTTTTTGTTAAAAAAAAGAGTTTATGTAATAATGAATTATGAAAAATAATACTAGAGCAATGAATGGGATATTAATATAGTGAAAATTCGTGTTTAGCGCATTAAGGAATATTGCCGGAAAATAAAAGTGAAACCGAGTCCCTTTTCGTAATAAATATTAAAGGAGGATAAAGTCCGATAGAGAATGTGAACATTAGTGAGGGAACAAAGTGTGTAGGCCTAACAGATCCAAGGCTCGTCAATCGATGATAGCGATGCTCTATGGTGGTGATTGGTGAGAAAGTGCAGGGTTTGCGCTTGAATGCGACAACTGTCGCGAATTCGATTGAGCACCGCTTTTATTTTAACGGTTAAAAGCACGCGTTAACTTATTGCAGGCCAAAGTTCTTGAGGAACATACAAAAGACATTTATTACATTTATTTGCTATTTAGATCACTTTGCTTATCGTATACCATCTCCTCTAATTAGCGGCTTGAGTAGGAGCATTTAGCAATTGATTATAAAATTTCGTTGATTTTCGCAGGCTAACAGCTATCCAAGCACCACTCGTAAGATTATATATATATTTTTTTTTAATTACAGCTCATATAAATGGAATATATATATATATATATATATATATATATATATAGAGTACAGTATAGAGTACAGTAGTGGGGTACAGATGCTATACTTACGATGACCGCGAATATTTCAAGTTTGGCATATAAAGGCAATTCGAGTCTCAAATTCGTATTTTAATGGATATTTAGTTAGACATTTTACTGCTTCTAAATCTAATTTCACTTTCTGTGAAACATCGCGCTTAATTGTACGTAGAGTTTATGATACGTGCAACGTTCGATTCTAAATAGTCTTTGGTATTTAATTTAGTTTGAAATTTAACGGGAGATTTGTTGTTCAATGTATGCTCAATCAGACATTTAATATTTGGAAAATGAGGAAATAAAATATTTATAAGCACGTGATGTATGCTTTGAAATTAATATCATTGGTTGAAGAATGCTAATGTTTATCACTGTTGTTCATTTCATAAAAAAACAAAGCCACGTTTCAATTTGTGTTATATTAATAATTATTTAAAATGAACGATTTATAATTATTATTATTGTGAAATTAAATGGCAATCAATAACACTCGGCGTTAATCTATCAAGAATATTTTAAAAAAATTAATTTTGTTTTTTTGTTGTTGTTGTTGCAATTTCTAATGAACTGTAAATTAAGCATAAAGTTATTGCTTCGATCGGTATATAATCAATTTAAGTTTATTTATGATTAATAATCGTGTACGATAGAATCAAAGTTATCCTTATTAAACAAAGCACCGAATTTAATTATATGATCGATCATTAGTTTCTTTCTATTTTGTTTTCTGTTTTTTTTTTCTTTTTCTTTTTTTTTTTATCCCCCTCACAAAGTTAACAAAGAAATCGTGTGCAAATTGCCAAGATTTATTTAACCGTAATTTTTAATGCATCGTTTTCAAATTAAAAAAAAATTATAATATATAATGCTGATAATATACGTAGATGTATATTATTGCAATACAAATGGATTTAAACACGATATCGAAGATTAATATTATATATGCTGCTGAGTACTTTCTGTAAAGAGATGTAGCTGTTTACAATTGAAATTAATAAACATTTTGTTTTTCGAATTAATTTACTATATTATCTATATGATATTTTTGTTTGCATATATTTTATATTCGTGTCAGCGAGTGCGCATATCCTTAAACAATAATGATCTTTAAGCTTCTTATATTATGAATTAATTTCTTTATTATTATAGAACAGTATTATTGTTTGCTAATTATTCGAATATATTAATGCTTTCGACATTTATCTAAAATTTGAGAAATTTCAGATTTGTAATTTGTGATTTATTGGTAATTAAAATGTTCTAAATCGATTTTTAAGTTGAAATTTATTTGTTGTCATAAAGCACATGTTATTTAATGTATGGACATAAAAAAACTGTTTTTTTTTTTTTTAAAGAAATTTGCAAATTCAAACATTCTTTCAAGTTAATCGCCATATTGTATAATGACGTCAGATGCCAGGCGAGAAATGGCATTTTTACATATACTGAAACTACATAAGCGATGAGAAAGATCGACGTTATTCTTTGGGAATGGAAATATATAGATCCACAATCTGTGTTCCTAGTCGCGGGTATAATACATTATTGACATACTTACAGATATTTCTTTATCACGGATACAGTGTTGGTTAAATTAAAAATAATGATTATCATAAATATTTTTAATCGAATGAATGTTCGTTAGCTGCATTGAATTAAAGTCTCGGGTTTCAGACTCTAGTCACAAATGTTACAAACTGTATACAAATTATATAATATGTGCGTGTGTGCGTTAGTGCGTTAGTGCGTGAGTGCGTGAGTGCGGGCGCGGGCGTGCGCGTGTGCGCTTGTGCATGTGTGGCGCGTAATCCAATGCCAATATAGGAGCGACGGAACAAAGAATATACGATATTGATAATAATTAGACAGAAGAGTGGGTGACAGAATCGAGTACGAGGCATACAGAGAGAGAGAGAGAGAGAGAGAGAGAGAGAGAGAGAGTGAAGCAAGCATATATAAAAAAGAGAATATGATATGTAAAAGAAATAATGAAGATGGAAGTAATGTCGACTAGTAAAAGAGCTACGAAAAAAGGAGAAAACGTAACTTTAGGCGCACGCTCAAAACGAAGTTGCGCGAGTGTTTTCTGTCAGTGAAGATTGCAGAGTCTCGTTCAACTTCGTTTGAGGTTGGTTTCTCATTGAGTAAATATAGTTTCGGCCTATAGAGCCTCCGTCGAACAAGATATCCAACAGGCAGAATAAACTGTAAAATTGATCATATCGTGGCATAATTATGAACTTTGGGTATTATTGTTGTGCGACTAGTAATAAAATGAGACATATTGTGTAAAATAAGCGAGTAATTGAAAATAAAGGAGTGAGTGAGAGAGAGAGAGAGAGAAAGGGAGAGATAGTGAGTGAGTGGGAGGGCGAGAGAGAGAGAGAGAGAGAGAGAGAGTGAGAGGAGAAAAAGTAATTGGGAGTGAAAGATCGAGGAGGCAGTGTGGGCAAACGAGGTTTAGCAGAAAGCGTTGAAAGAGTCTCGATAACTTCGTGGTGTTGCAAATGAGGGAGTACGCTTTAGTTGGTAAAGGAGTTTAAAGAAGAGAAAGAGAGGAAGATTGACATTGAGTGTGCAACTATAAGTGTGAAGGAAGGAGTGGAAGAGGGCGAGGGCGAGGGCGAGCGAGTGATCGCGCAAAGCAGAGGAAACAAGTTGTCGTCGTCGCGGTCATCGCCGTCGTCATCGCCGTCGCCATCGCCATCGCCATCGCCATCGCCATCGCCATCGCCGTCGTCGTCGCGGTCGTCGTCGCGGTCGTCGTTTTCCTCGTTTGGCAGGCCATTTTGGCGAGATATGTGGTGTCGCGGTAAGAGCGAACGTCAACAATTAGCTGTGAGCCGAGCTTAGCGCGAGCCGAGTAGTTGCTTTCTTAATGCCACACCGTGGCATCTGCAAACGTAACAGCGGCTGCAGTCAGGCACCAGGTTAAGGCTCGCGGCAGACTCGATATTATTGTCGCCGTCGCCGTCGCCGTCGCCGTCGCTGCAGCCGCTGCCGACGCCGACGTCGCTGTCTCGGACCAGGGCAACTAGCATCGAGGATCATGAATCGCGGGGACGGCCTGGTGCAGCGACGCCGCGGCACAGCCAACAGCGGCAACGGCCCTGGGGCCCAGGACGGCTCGAACGAGGCTCAGGGTGGACACTCGGATCGTCAGTCGCCCCACGACTCCGACGGCTCCTCCCTTAAGGACCTTAACTCCAATCCAGCCCTCGAGGAGGACAGCGACAAGGAGACCAGGCTTACCCTTATGGAGGAAGTTCTTTTGCTGGGCCTGAAAGATAAGGAGGTTCGTGCTCTTATCTCACGGTTATTTTTACGTATTTACTTAAAAGTGGGCTTCTAGCTTTGGTTGTGTCACTGCGTTACTCCCTCCTATGCTCTACATTATCTTTGGGACTTCCTGTTGATTGTTGGCTAACTTGATAGACTAAATTCATCTAGGCATCGTTCAAGTTCTGCTTTTATACTTTGTGTCCCTAGGATGTCCTAATTGATGGAATCTTTAATTTAATCGAATATAATCGAGCGTAACAATTGTTGAAATGTTTTGTTTATCTTTGTAACGAAGGAATAACATTTCTGTTTGGTCTACAAAGATAGTAAATTACAAATTTTAATCAATATCTTAAAAATTGTAGAAAATTATAGCTAACGTTTGTTGATGCTTTGTTTATACAGTTGTTATGTTATTTATATTACATCTATCTATCAATATATATATATATATATATATATATATAGAGAGAGAGATATCTTTGCTATAATTTTACACACAAAATTCTTATTGATGTTATTTGTCAAATTTGAGGTTGGTTTTAATACATAAACAGACATTGAAGATACGAGATAATAGTTATATCATGTAAACATCGTAATGCAGTTTAAAATACTCATACAACCGATGCGATTACTTTTTCATATATTCCTTCATTACAGTATCATTGATTCGACATTTTTAATTTCAAATATTTGTATAAAATTTATAATCGAATATGTTTTCAGTTATATTTGATTGTAACGTCACGCCATTTTTCTAAAGATATTATGCGGTAGTCTTATATTATGATTTGATTAAATATAATGTTATTTAATATAATTCAAAGCAATAATTTAAATAATACATTATATCAATTTGTAATTTATCAGATAACATTATTTTATTAAGCTTGTCTATGCATAGACCGTTAATAGGCAGTTGAACAGATTTTTATTGAATTTTATTAATTTGATCTATTAGAGTATGTCGATTAATATAAGAAATTTTCATCAAACTAATTCCAATAGACGAATTCCTATTCCTGTTTGTTTTATCAATCTGACAATAATGTTTTGTTATTTTTCTAGGGATACACTTCTTTTTGGAATGATTGCATAAGTTCTGGCTTACGTGGTTGCATTGTAGCAGAACTTGGGCTTCGAGGACGCGTAGAACTTGAAAAAGCTGGAATGAGAAAGAGAGGATTGTTAACGAGAAAATTGCTATTAAAAAATAATGCCCCGACAGGAGATGTTTTGTTGGACGAGGCATTAAAGCATTTTAAAGAAACTGATCCACCGGAAACTGTCCAGAATTGGATAGAATATTTAAGCGGTAAGATATTAAAATTTCAACATATTTAATCAATGATGAGATGCATCGTTGAATAACCTACTTAAAATAGTTCGAAGAATGCGATTATAAAGAAGATAAAACCTAATAATTTTCATGATGACTTTATGCGATATTATTGAAATAAAAAGCATGGTGAGACATTATTTTATGTCGATTAGTTACGAGTATAATATATTGAATTAATATGTAATTCATTAATTTGCCCATTACCGTTAAGCGTTGCAAGTGTTTGTATATTAATAATTGATTGCAGGGGAAACCTGGCATCCGTTAAAATTACGTTACCAGTTAAAAAATGTCAGAGAAAGACTCGCAAAGAATCTTGTAGAGAAGGGAGTTTTAACAACAGAGAAACAAAATTTCCTCCTCTTTGATATGACAACTCATCCATTAACGGATAATCTTGCCAAAACTCGACTTGTAAGAAAGGTAAGAAGATTTATTGCCATATTCAAATTTGCTCTATTATATCTGTGATTTAATAAGTTGAAAATTGATATCTCAGAATACAATATTGCGATATTGCATAAAAAGTATTGTACAATTGAAAAATTTTCTTTATCTGTATTATCGTAGAATTGGTCATCCAAAGTTTCATCCAAACGGATTGATAATATAATACGAAACAAAAACGCTTTTCATCGGTCAGTTATCCCTTATAAATCAAAATTAAGCACAAATTAAATATTTAATTGATATTACGAATGTTGCATAAGCAAGATTTCATGAAACATAATTACCATCTGTATTTGTACAAGAAGTATTTCTACTTTTTCTATTATTTAAATACGGAAATCAATAATATCTTATCAGTTTGGGAATAATTATGATAACATACGCAATAAAATGTGCGCACAACTTAGAGAAGATAAAAAGATAAAAATTAGGTACTTATATTTAATAAAATTCAATAAAACAATTCCCATAAAGTCCATTTTTTATTAAGTATCTTTAAAGCTCTTATGTGTTTCATTGTTTAATTGTCAATTATGTTTTTTAAACTATTAAAAAATCAAATTAAAATCCGTTGTGTATGTTATTATTGAAAACACAAGTCATTAAATAAATGACTTGATTTTCATCTGAAATAATTCTTTTATAATCGTTCGAATGAATGGAAAGGATCGTTAATGCAGAGCACTTTACAAGATTTGAAAGTAAAGGTAAAAAATATTTTTGCCACATCGATTTTACAAGCATTTTTAGTTTGTAAGTAACTTCAACTTCAACGTGCTGGCAAAGTCCTACGTAATACAAAATGTCCTAATATATTAATTACATTCTCTTAACACAAGCATTCGTAATGTCTCAATTCAGAGAACAATTTGTTAATAATTAATAGACACTTGACATGGCTAATCTATTAAGAGTCGATAAAATATCATGTTTCGTTAATAAATTGATAAAAGTTATATATACGCTGTACATAAGAATGAATAACTATGAGTTAATGGCCAAGACAATTGTCGGCCAAAGTTTTTCACTCTCGTTTTGAAATCCATGTGGGCAGGATATTAATGATTTTATTATTTCAGATACAAGACGCAGTGCTGGGTCGATGGGTGAACGACGCCGGTCGCATGGATCGTCGAACACTAGCACTTATAATTTTGGCACACGCGGCTGACGTTCTGGAGAATGCGTTCGCCCCTTTATCCGATGACGATTACGAGGTAGCGATGCGTCGGGTGAGGACACTCCTTGACCTGGACTTCGAGTCCGAGGCGGGAAAGCCGAACGCCAATCCCGTTCTCTGGGCCGTATTCGCCACCTTCACGAAGTAACGGCCGCTGATGTTTTGTCGACGTCGTTACATTAGCTCCTAGTATAAACTTATGTGGGAAGAAAATGAGAGGCGTACACACGGAAAAGAATGACCTTTGAACCAATCAAATCATCACATGTTATTGTGATAAATATTACCTTTCTTCATTTTTATTTATCTTTTTTTTTTGTTTTTTTTTTTTTTTTTTTTTTTTTTTTGTAATTTTTTCATTATTATATTATTATATTATATTTTTAGATCATATATATATATGAAGATTTTAAAAATAAAGACTATTTACAAGCTGTTATTAGGGTCATATTCTTCTCTCGAGTTGTGGACAATCGAATGAGGGAATTACAACAACGTGATAGATGAAATGTAAAGATTGAGAGAGTGGCGGGCGTGATTGGGGGGGGGGGAGCGAGGAAATTGTGGACGATGCGCTATTCGCGTCATTAAGAGTAAAATAAATTTCTAAATCTGACCAAGCTTCGGGGCACCGGCAGTTGTGTGACCTGTTGTTGTGTACAGTACCTTTTACGAGTTGGCGATGATGGGCGACGTTTCATCCCCAATAATTATATGATAAACTTTGCAACTATGAATCTATTGATTCTTTCGTTCTGTCGTGTGCGAATGAGTCGAGAGAGAGAGAGAGAGAGAGAGAGAGAGAGAGTAAGTAATGTGTCAATCTCTGTACAGGAATCGATACTCATAGCTAAACCATTAAATAAAATTTATTAAGTGCAAGTTTGATGATGGAGTCCTCGAACCACACAATATTTTATGTTTAATTAAAATCATATTTTAAAATTTTCTTAATCTAACCATGTTGAATGATAAAATGGTCATCGTGATATTTTTAATTGATTTTATTATTTTGTATTGATCTATAGAGAGGGTATGATGTGTTGAATCTTAATAAAATAGAACGAATGTGGATTGTCAAGTATTATGAAAAAGTAAATTAAAGTAAAAGACGAGGTGATGTAGATTCGAAGAATGAATTTTCAGTCATTTTTCGAGAAGGTTATCAGTGAAACGTAATTATAGTACGAATTATCAATTTGTTATCTCTTTTTTTAAATTTGATAGAGATGATTGTACAAAAATTTACATAGGGAAGGATATTATATTATCTACTTATGCATAATAGTTACTTATTATCATTATTATATTATTACTATTATTAAATATTGTATTAAGAGTAAATGTAATAAAATTAATATAAAAAATCAGTTAAGTATTTATTAACTCGATGAGAAGATATTTTATGATTTGAGTTGAGACATGTTGAACACGTAGATTACGTGAGATTAACAAAATATTTATAAATATTTTTTGTTTCGCTTGTACTTACTTTCTTTCTTTCTTTTTAACTAATGCGATCAAATTTTAAATAATAACCATTTTTATTTAACATATTAAAAATTCTAATACATTAATATATTCTTATATATAATTAACAACTTTTTTTTTTATAATTATTGATAAATATAAACAGTTTCTTAATATTTAAATCAAGAAACAATATATATCTTCACTATACAAATAATATTTAATATTTTAAAGGTTCAATATTAATGTTAATATTATGCATTACTCGAGGTATTTCAGTTTTATGTACTTTCATCAGAGTGATATAAAATTTAAAAAATATATTTATTTTGTAATTTTGATGTATTGAGATATTTAAAACAGTTATTAAATGAATTTTTTTTTAATCTTCACTGATCTACTTTTTAGCTTTTTAGATGGCTTGTTCGATCTATTGTAAATTAATGAAATTGAAACTGATCATATTGTTGATTACAGAATAATATGTACATTCGGTACACGCATATTGATATAAAATATTTGTTTTGATTAATTCAATTTAGAAATAAAATGAAAGAGTTAAAATGACACTATAATAATAATCGGTCTGAAAAGTATCTTTCACTCTAACAATGCTCGATAGAAGCTTGGATGAGCCCAAATCTGCCAGTAGTCATCCAATTAGAATCTTCTCTTTTCAATAATTCTGCTTTTCCAATAGATAAGCCCACGCATAAATCAGCCTTTATTGTTCTTAAGCTTACAATATTCGTTGGTCTAAATCCTCGCAGAGCTTGAAGAAAGTCGGTTGTATATTCCCAATTTATATCACCTAAAAGCTTCCGGTAATTAAGATCGCCTTTAAATATAACAAGGGTTGCTTTCGATAATTTATTATACAATGCTAAATTTTCTGTTTTCATTTCAGAAAAATCAAAAGGCTCTGTCCAAAATGATTCCTCCTAAAATATAAAATACATATATGTATTTATATTTTGAATGAAATGAAAGATTAATGTCAGTAAATTTACCACAATGGTCCACGAGCCATTTTTCAGACAGTTTTCACAAAATTCTCCAAATAATTTAATATTTTCATTATCTGACTGAAGCATTATTTTAATTAACCAATAAAAATCATTTGTTGTAGTATCACTAATGAACCATGGATATTGCTTGACATAAAATCTAATGTTATTAGCAATTTTTTTCTCTATTAAGAATGCTGCCAAATTCAAATCAGTAAATAATTCAAAGCCAGCATTATCTAGTACAAAATCAATAATAACGCCATTTTCCTTAGATAGAGTGTTATTAGAAAGCAGTTGCCAAACGTCATCGCTATTGTCGACTAAAATTTCCTTATCTAAATTGTTTAAAACGATTAACGGATTATCTTCTTGTACATTTACAATTCCACTGCTTAAGGATAAATCGCACCTGTAAACAAATACTTTAGTAGTACTATTTTGTTCATTAATTTTATGATAATTCATATTAATATGATTCCTATTAAAATATTCTTACCTATTGCCCCATAAATTGAGTTTAATTAAATTTATAAAATGTTCTCTTAACTCTATTAAACTCTTGTTATCAGTATTAATTAATTTCATAATATATTCAGATAAGTGGCTTATACTTCCTATTGCTTTAAAGTATCCTTCCCGCTTTTGTATTGAAAATGGATCAAATACTTTTAAATGATTTCTAAAATTGTAATCTGAATATTAATTTTCAAGGTAAATTGTGCTTTAATCAATTACGAGTTCATATGAGGATGTTACGTAAGAAGGAATTCTTGCGCTATTCTCCTATACAAGTAGCATTCGCAAATAAGCCATACAGCATTATACCAAGTTACACTTTCACCCTGTAAGTCAGATAATTTTTCTAGCTTTTTATTCCACACAATAGCATCGTTCTCAACTTCAGTCGGATCTACATTCAATGGATAAAGCGGCTTGTTTGTCATCAACTCATTTTTTAATTTACTAATGACTCCGACCACCTTCTTAGTCTCTTCAATGGCATCCTAAAATTATTTTCATTATTTAATCGTTTATATATATAATAAATATTCTTAATACATAAGTATTCTTCTTTATTTCTAGTTTACTGTTCCATTGGCTTTTGCAATATCTTCTTTGTTTCGACTCAATGTATCAATTATTTTAGTTACTATAACAGGTAATCGATCCTTTATTGTTTTATATGCAAAACTCCTGTGAAATTATATTAAAATAATATTAAACACATAAATTAAGCAACGATAGCGGTATACTTAATTCAGCAAATCAAATTATTCCTAACAACAGAGCATACTTTATCACGTCAACTCCTTAAATATTAATTTTTTAATTGAAAATAATTTCAAACACACGTTATTGATATTAAAATATGTATCACATAATAATTCTTATTTTTAAATAGTGAATTACATTCACTTAAAATTTCCTTGACTTTACTATATTTACTATACAAAAATGAAAATTTTAAGGTTATAAATGTTTCACCTTTTATATTTTCCAGAAAGCAAACTACCAAATGGTGTTTCAATGTCTTCTAAACCATTAATATCTCCTGAATTTGACGTATGTTTAATTTCTGACATCTTCCAAATTGCAAAAAAACAAAAAAAAAACGGCGTTTGAAAATTATCACCGAATTAATCGCCTCACCGTAAATTCATCAAACAACCAATGCGATAAGTTTCAACATACGCGAACGAATTCCTTTTATCATTTCTTTTCCGCTATGTGTAATGCAAGTAATCATGATTATCATACATTTTTATCCTATCTTTTACAAACATACATAATTATAAGATTGCATGAATATGAATTTGTACATGACTTTGTTCTAAAAGAATGGAACGTACAAAGATGTACAACAAATTTTCTGCTAAATGACACTCGACGCACGTGTAGTGTAATATAGAGGAGCACTGCGTCGCGAAATTGTTAAAAGTTTTAGACCGATTTAGAAATCCATTTTGTTTTTTAAAATTCAATATATTCAATATTTCAGATATACTATACTGTTTCTCATCCTAACGTCTCAATGTATTGGCCATAATTATTTAATATTTAAATTATATTTATTTACATAAAGTCGCTCATATATGCTTATTCATGTATAGGAAATCAGTAGGCACGGATTGATATATTTTTTCTTTTTATTAAAGACACTTTCATCTGTAGACAAAAATATTTAACGAGTATAATAAAGTGAATGCTTTTACGTTCTCGATATACTCGAATTAATTTTAATATTGTAATATTGGGAAGTATTCGGAAACTTTTAGATTCAGTTATTAGAATTGTAAATAAAAATTAACGAAATATAATCTCGATGACATTTTTTTTTTTTTTTTTTTTTTTTTTTTTTTTTTTTTTTTTTTTTTTTATTATTATTATTTTTTATTCAAAGAACAAAGAATGTAACAAAGAGTTATTGTAACTTGGCCTGTTTAGGTATGTAAGAAAAAAAAAGACAAATATTTTACTTTAGTCATTGAATTATATAACACTAAATATTTTTTTTAATTAGAATTTTTTTTTTATAAATTAATTTTATATATAGATTACAAATTTTCAAACATTAAATTTAAATATTAATTATTTGAAATTAAAATATTTTCAATTGTACGCCTTTACTCGAGGTCGAATTAATTTTATTTTAAACAGAGACGTACAGTAATATTTACTGCTATTAATTTACGATTTATTTAGTAAAAAAAAAAAAAAAAAAAAATAATAATAATAACATAAAGGGAGAAAAAAGAAAATTGTATCACGATATGGTAAGTCATATTTTAATCTTGAAATTTAATATTTAATATTTCATTATATTTTAGTGCATGTTAAATGTATAAACTTGATTCTAACTCTGACAATAATTTGTAATATCCATACATCATTTACTTAGATTATAAAAGAATTCGTTTTTATAATTTTTTTTTTTTTTTTTTTTTTTTTTTTTTTTTTTTTTTTTTTTTTTTTTTTTTTTTTTACATTAAAATTAGAAGTCACCTGATTTTTAAATACATAAATTAATATTCATTAATGAAGAATGATAAAGAATAAACTTTTAGATAATTTTAAGTATATAATTTAACTACGTAGTTGATACGCGTAGGTATTGTCGTAGTTTGTAATTAGATTAAAAATTACGTAAAGTGGAATGATACTTTTTTTTTTTTTTTAAGTATTTATAAGTAAAATCAGGGGAAAAAACGTATATACATAGCTTTGTTCTGCATATTTGATTTATATTAAACTACGTGTTCGTAAATACACTGGTACCATGAAGTATTAAAATGTAAAATTATGAAGCAGAATAAATATGAAGAAAAGAAGAGATTTTAATAAATACAACAATGCAGTATTTCCTTTAATCTAGATTAAATAAAAGCTTTTAAAACAGTTTCTTATGTTAATCTAAGCATAAATATAAAATAATGCATACAATTGTTCTAAAAATGTACATACAATCTTAAAAAATATTATAGTAGAATCAAAGCGTATTTTCTTTTATATTTAGTTCTCTTATATCTTCTCTAAACGGACTGCATGATAATGTTTTGTAAAAACAAAAAAAATAAAGACAAAATATTCAGGCTTGTGCTTAACCGTTTCAGGAACATGTCCATCTCGAATGTTTGTATGCGACAAACCAGCTGCATCACGAAAGGAGAATTGTATCCTCTCTTTGTACTAAATACGCATTTACCTAAAGGTTTTGCCTTATATGTCGTTGGATTTGGGATTCCGAAAATACAAAATTACATCGCGATATGCAATAGATTCTATCGCGTGTTGCTACCGACATTGAAGGATTCACCTTTCAAGGGTATCAAATGTTTATGCACATCGTAGCTTTAATTTGTCTTTCGTTTATAAGAAGGTAATCTAGCAAGTTATTAACAAAACTAAAATTACGTAGATTTTCATTTCAACAGCAAAATTGAAAATACAAATGTATTTTAAATCATTCTATAACTAATTCATTCAAAATATTTAATAATTCTATAAGAAATTTAAATTAACAAATACTTAAAGAACTTTATTTTAACTTATTTGATTTGCTTATTATTTAAATTTATACTCTTATGTAAAGAATTTAGAAGAGAAATTTTAGTCGATATATTCTTTTGATGTAAGACGTTGTTAGATTTGTTATCAAATAATATTTGAAATGTTTTTACATAATTATGTGAATGTATCTTAGGGCATTAGACAGTGATATTTTATACAATTAATCTTGTATAAAATACGCAATGTTTTTTTGTTATTTCAAAACATGTAAAAGTAAATGCCAAGTTGATTTCTTTACTATAAGTATTATTTTTCATTCGCGAGAATTCCGAAAAAGGTATGTTTTTTTTAATTTACCCATTTCCCCATTGGCAATCTGCATTAATCCTTATTTTTAACAACTTTTAAATCCTGTTAGTGACTATTATTTTAGTATACACGTGATAAAAACACGTTGTTTATAGTTTAATACTTACTAAAAATAGTTTTATAATGTTGATTAACTTCGCCAATTTTAAATTATTAGCATTATTGTTGTATCGAATACCAATTGTATTTTCAAATCATTAACAATTTTTTAAATGGAATTTATCAATTGAAGGTGCTTTTTTTTTTTTTTTTTTTTTTTTTTTTTTTTTTTTTTTTTTTTTTTTAAAATAAAGTATATTTTATTTGTAAACATAAATTTAATCTCAAATTTTTTAAATGTACTTTTGTTTTAATTTACATGTAGTTTTTTTCTCTATTAAACCTGAATTTTTATAAAAATTTTTTAATCATTTGTAAAAATCTAAAAAAAGGTAATTTATTTTTATTATATAAATATTTTATTGATATTCAATACTAAACATTGTTCTTTAATATATTTTTATTTATTTTTAATAACAGTAAAAATCTAAACTGTAAATTTCAAGATCTTAAAATTTTTAATTATAAAATAAATACGTTGAACGTTGATTTATATGACCTAATATCTTTTGTAATCTATGTTTTTTTTATTAGTCATTTTTTTTCCTTCAAATTTAACAGTATATTGGCAAAATTTTAAAACTGTTTTATATTCATTTGTTACAAAGAATTAAAAATATTATTAAATTATAATTCGTTAATAAATAAAGAAATATATGTATATATATATATATATATATATATATATATACATGTTAAACATGTATTGATTTTATATAAGAAAAATTTATTTAGATAAATCGTATCTCAAGTTGATTGACTTTGCATTATTATTTTTAATCCGATTAAAAATTAGTTCCATTTATAAGAATTGGTTCACGTGTGGCAAGTGTGTTACTGCGAGAGCTCCATTTTATTCAACTATTATTATATACGAGATTAAATAATTGATAAGAAATATAAGATATATATTGAAGTATTCTTACATACTTGTAATTGAAAATGTAATTGAAATTGTAAATTAAATTTTATTGTTATTTAAATAAAAAATACGACAATTATTTGCGTAAAATCAATATCCGTCGTAATATTAATCGATCAATTGTACATGATGTATTATGTATTAAACAAATTATTTTAGCAATAATTTAAAAAAAAAAAAAAAAATTACCTACTAATAGAGAATTAAAATCAATTCGCATATATATTGGCAATTATCATATTTAGAATACAATATGTTTCTCTCATACATAAAAGAACAGATGCTTGTGTTTCACGAATCCAAGTATTTATAGTTGCAATTAACTATTTATTACGTACTCAAGTAAGTACGCGGAATTAATGGATAGAGTCTTTTTAAAATTTGATACCCGAGTAGTAGTTTCATGTAACCCAAAGGGTGCAATAATGTGTGTAAATTTAAAAAGTCTCGCCAAAAAAGGGTAAACAAAGTTTCCTTTATATAACTTTTGCACTACTGGGGGACTCGAAAAAAAAAAAAAAAAAAAGGATCATGTACATAGGTCGAGGGTGCCTATGACATTGCAGCTTTGCATATTCTCTGCGCTCTGTCGACTTCCGACTTTTTCATCCACTTGCTTCCCCGCCCCACCCGTCACCACCACCGGCTTTTAAAGTTTTGCCGGTAAGGCGAGATAGCAAGTCGAAGATAATTAGAGATGACCCCGAAAAACTCTCTCGAATGCAACAAACTTGCCTCGTAATTCAGCTTGAGCCGCGCCACCAGGATCAATGCGCGCGCGCATGCACTTGTCGCTTAATAAAGTGTCGAATGTCCTATATAATGTAAATGCCTATTTAAACTACTGCGTGTCACGTGCAAATTGTGCGGCTCATCCAGTGCTCTCGGTTACTTGCAATAATTATAGAGACAGAGTTAGGAGGATAATTAAGTGCTAGCTAGAGACGATTGCTCGGTACGAATTTAAATAATAGAGACGCTCGCATAGCCATTGAGGATTTGAAAGTTTATTCGAGGCGATGGAATTTTTGACGGTGACGAAACATTATCCTTAGATGAACATTTGTATTAAAAATTATGCATTGTCAACTAATAATAAGATAATAATAAATAATGTCAAGATAAGGGATTGTACTTTTATTAGCCGATAGTACGATAAAAAGGATATAAACGAAGATAAATATGCACCGATCGACGTTCAA